GCGTCTGAGCCCTCTTCGACGTCACCCCGACCCTTCCCAGGTAGCCAATGAAACTTGCCTGCAACGCCCGTGCCCACATTGCCTCGTTACCTTCTGCCTCCTCCCCTCCCTCCCTCACGCCTTCGGCCATTCCCTCCTTCTCGCCTCTCCTTGCCCACCCACGCTCCGATACCTTCTCTTTCTTCGCGCCATTTTTCTCCTCCTCGCCAGATATCCTTCCCGCCATTCCGCCTCTTTTCCTTCTCGTTTCAAGCCAAGGCCTACCCTCCTTCCTCTCTCCTTCGAATTCACCCATGCGGAAGGGCGAGGGAGAGGGCTGCCTCTCCGAGTGAGCAAGACGGTCGGTGAAGAGAGGAAGGGGGGCAAGGTGGTGAGGGGTCGTCGAGGACGAATGATTGTAGGAGAACGGAGACGCCGTGCGGGAGGAGCAGGTGGAGGAAGAAGAGGGGGAAGAAGGTAGAGGTGTACAGGGCTTTTGAGGCGTGCCTGGTCCTGCCTCCCTCTCTCGTCCTTTTTGCTCCTCCTTCGCTTCCTTATCCGTGCCCTCCTCCACCTTCATATCCAAGGCCGTATCCGTATCCATTCTCTTCTCTTCATCAACCTTTCCTCCCATGTCATCGCGCTTATTCTCCTCTGCCGCAGTACCTCCTGCCCATTGGCCTTTCCTTCCTTCTTCCTCCTCTCCTTCCTCCCCCCCTATCTCCCCTCCTCCTTGTGGTTCCGAAGCGCATGGACCCTCCCTCCTGGCGTCTCCCCGTAGCCAGTGCCAAAAATGACCCCAGGCATGCCAGTACCCGGCCTGAGACTGGTCTGTTCCGCGTAGTGAAAAAAAGGACAGAACATGTGTAAGCATGGTACGCCGTCATGATGCCGATGGAGCGCGACCGACGAGTAAGGCCCAATCCCACGACCTGATCCTTCACATTTACGTGTCTTGCTCTGGGAGAAAGAGACAACAGTCGAGTCTCGAGCGCCCGACAATTACAATCACTATGTTACATCAAGAACGGAAGGAAAGTAAAACGGCAACCCCTCCAAACAGAGCAGGACCGGCATTTGACGTGAACACAAGCGTATATTGGTAAGCTTTACATGACCAGCAGAAAGTTCAACCCCACAAGAACGTACCTGCCGCCAATGCGGCCAAGTGTGACTCATTCTCCACCGCAAAGCCTTCTACAGCCTCCCTGCCTGTAGAAAGAAGTGAAAGTGCTGGGCTTGAGGTGAGAGGAGGCACACATACACCATTCGTCGCTCTCGATTATTTGTAAGACAAGAATTGGCTGAAGAAATGGGAAGCCCAAGTCTTCTTATCTCGCTGCTTATTAAGGCTTGTACACCCCGTGCAAAGTTCTCACACAATATGATATTGATTACAATCCTATAATCATGACCAGAAGCTAGAGAAATACGTACCCAGACAAGGCAAGTCCTCGTCATGCAAATTATCCATGGCAACCTGTGACCGATTTTCATAACATTGTTTTTAAATTTCCTGAATCAAATACGCTGATCCCTGTTTCTGTGTGAGAAAAGTCGGCCGCAAGGCTCCGTTTTCCTACCTGTAATGTTAGTTCCGTCACGTACTGTCTATATAAGTTCCGTGTTTTGGGAGCTCTTGCCCGGCCCGTCCGCTTCAACCACTCAAGCCAAGGGATTATGACTTCCTCGAAATTCAAACATGTGAAATCACTATCGGCCATGGCACATTCCTCTTCCACAGCAATCTGTCCGGTTGAAAGAAGGACTCAGAGGGAGAAGACAGGCTGGAGGGCATACTCCTGCCCCAACACCTGCATATGTCGATTCTCCCAATGTGTTTGTGCCTATTGATGCTGACTGAGGATTAGGAAACGCAAGTCAGAAGGATAGCTATGGTGCTGTTCCGCAAGTCTGGATATGACGATCCCGACTCTTGCAGGCACTTCTCTTCTACTGTCCCCACATGTACACCTCACAGCCGTCGTCCGTCCCTTCATGCACACCACAGAGTCAAAAACCTTTCACTTCTATACTATTTAAATATACTTCGGAATTAGAGCAATTTTCTGGCAATGTCCCGCTCAACAAAATGTTACCTGTAGCTGGACAACGAAAAACAGTTACATGTTAAGAGTAGGCATTCTATTTGCACGCCACTATCTGAGGGTTTTTCATACGTGCTATTGTATTATACTTACAACCTATAAGGAATACTTACAACCTATAAGGATGCGAGTCCATTGTGGTTCAATCACCATCCTTCAATACGTTTTCCTCGTAAATTTTATCACGTTCCCATCGCGGATCACTTTTCGTAAGACACGGTCCCCAATCAGATTGCACTCAAACACCTTTTATTCAATCACCGCCCTCATGACGGTTATAACATATTTATTTTTCCCAAAGAGGTGAGTCATGAAATACGTTCGCGAGACTCTGTTCCTCCCCCAAAGCGTCCATCCTAAATGCCCGTTCCAAACCTCACGCCGCTTGCAGTCCTTACTTTTTGTCTGTGCTCCTATACCGTAGTGTTACTGTTTGTTTGCCAAAAAGTGCCAGGATAACTCGCGTAATAGCCGGTTTTGTCAGAGTGTGCCACATGCTTTTGCTGAGTGTCACAAGCGTATCAGCTCCAGTTTTGTGACATATGAGGGCAGCTCAACCTCCTCCGTGTTCAACGCATGGCGAACTTCGACTAGAATCAAACGCGCTCCAAGCCTGACTTATCCTGTCGTCCTACGCCCAGAAATCGAATTTTTACTTGACGTACTCATTATTTCTTTCTTAAAATACGCAATTTCGTAATGTTCTACGGTTGCTGGTTGCTCTTTCCCCCCACTCCAACTGGTTCCTTTTTCATTTCAAAGCTTTGGCTTTTACGTGGGCCATGCTCCTCGCCGTACGCCGTCAACTCGTACATTCAAGACACAGAATTGCCACGATAGCTCCGTCATCGTCAAAGTCTCCTACTTGCTTATTTAAGACGAGGGGGAGGAATCTCGGTACAAGCAGCAGTAATGGGAACGGACACAATGGTGGGCAGGTTCCTGCCGTCACACCCACAGCAATGTGCAAGGCAGGGGGGATCGGTAAGCTTTTTACCGTCGATATTGAATATTGAAAACGTATTATATTCTATCTAGCTGTATCGTAGGAATAAAAAATGTCTTTACCAGAAACGCCACCGTAGGCCTCTATCTGTGGCTCCTCATCTATGGCCAGTTGGATTGCATTTCAATAGTAGCAATTGTTCTCGGCTCTCCTTGACATTAGATATTTCGTCACCCTGTCGGCAAATACAGGAGTCGTGGCAGGCGTCTTTGGCTCACTAGTAGGCATGGGAGGTGCCTTCGTTCTGATCCCGGCTTTGACCGGCTTGTTGAAATTCTCACAGCACCAGGCGCACGGTAGGGAGGTTGAGAGGATGATGAGGAGGGACGAGGGAGTCGGATTGCTGTGAAGGGGGACGACGGACGTACAGAAAGAGCGTGGAGAGGAACCTTGAGAAAGAGTGGTCGGACGGATGCGTGAGCGCGTCATTTCTCCTTCTTACACAGGCACATCCCTGGCGGCTGTGGTGGCCACAGGGAGCGGAGGAGCCATCTCATACGCGAGTGCAGGCGCCGTTGATTGGGAGGCAAGGAGAGGGGTCGGGAAGGGAGGACGGAGATGCGGGCAGGCATGGGATGAGATTGGGGGGGGGAAAGGTTTGAAAGCACCGGCCTTCGAGTCAATTTCATTCTCTTCCTCCTCCATGCTCCTCGTTTTCAGGACTCTTTCGCCTGGTCACATGAGATGCCAACTGCGGATTGACTCCTCCCTTACTTTCCCTCTCCGTTTCCCCTCTTCCCCTTCCTTCCTCTTTCGCTTCCATAGGCAGCCCTGTACGTGGCCGGATTGGGCATGATGACGGCGCGCATGGGCGCCGTCGTGTCCGGGAGGCTCTCCGCCGCCACCTTGCAAAGGCTTTGTGTAAGGATGAGAGAAAAGGCGGGTCGGAGGCGGGGCGAAGGAGGTTATACAGGAGGAAAATCGAGGGGGGCAGAGGGAGACAAGAGGGAAAGGGAGATGTGCGAAGTGCGGTGAGGGAAAAAGGAAGTGCTCTCATGCGAACAGGCAAAGGTAGTGGAAGCTTCTAGAAGACCGGGACGTGGGCCATGGCGTGCACGAGGAAGGGACGAGGTAGTCAGTGAGACGATGAGAAAACTGACTTCTCGCATTCCACGGACAGGGTGTATTCCAAGTCATTGTGGCGCCCACCGTCCCCCTCAGGTACGAGCCACTCCCTCTGCCACCCTGCTTCTCTCGTTCTTCCTCCTTCCCCCTCTTCTCCTTTCCCCTAGAAACAGTCCACCACTTCCGTTCCTCGCTCCTATCCTCCCTCCCTCCTCCCCTTCGGCTCCTGCGCTTTTTCGACCAGGACTCGTGTCTCATGCCAGTCATTTCTCCCTCACTCGCTCCCTCTCTCCCTCTCTCCCTTGCTCCCTCCCTCTCTCCCTTATTTCATTCTTCTTGCGCATTTTCCTGACCGCAGGAACGAGATCCTGGCCTTCTTTGGCGGCAATGAGGAAGGGAAAGGGGAAGGGAAGGAGGAAGGGATGGGGGGGGCGAGTGACGAGCAGAATGATTGGACACGGCGTCTCCAGCTCATGAGCATTGGGGCAGGTAGCGGGTAAGAAGGGAAGGAGGAGACAAAGGGGCTGGGAGGG